GATTTTCTTAAAATACTTCCACGATCAAAGCTGATATTCTATCAACATACCCAATGTCCAAAAAGGGTGTTAAACTCGAAATCAAAAATATGCTTGGACCTGCACAATAGGATCTGTCCAGGACACAAGAGACTAAATCCTAACTCATCGAAGATGCAAAATTAATCCGCAAAAGTGTTCGAAATGGAGTAAATATTTTCTGGAATCAGGATAGGATGTTTGGGTTATCAGATATATCCAAATAACTAGCATTCACTCACTGGACGAAATTAAGAAGCACTTAGTACCGTGTTGTTGAGGTCAACTGCGGCGCTCTTGATACATATCTACAGAAGAATGAACAGTCCATGGATAAAAAGAATGAGATGTGTCTACAGGTGAACAAAAGTCGGTCTGGGAACATATTTATGAAGATGTTTTAGGCGGCTTGGGGACTTGAGTATCTTCACGCGAAGAATGTTCTCCACAGGGATATTGCTGCTCGCAATTGCTTGTACGGAGACAATAAGGTACCTATTCCCTTCCTTATGGAAACGAATTCTGTCTTCAGAATTGCCGATGAGACCTTTAGGTAAAAATCTCCGATTTTGGTTTGACACGTGAAGGGACGGTTTACCAAATGGATCCACATAAACGAGTTCCTATACGATGGCTCGCACCCGAAACTTTAAAAATGGCTATCTATACGCAAAAAACAGACGTATTCAGCTATGGTAATTATTTTTTTTCCCTCATTTAGCTTAGAATTAGAATCAATTTGAGGGATTATGTGTTGGGAAATCTACAACAATGGTATCGAACCTTACCCTGGTATGACAGTCGCAGAAGTTAACCAGAATGTGAGCCAATACACTGTGCTCCTTTGAAACTCTTCATGAGTTCATAAATCGAGATTATTTATTTGAATGAAAGCAAGGTTAATGAAAAAAATAACAGTTCATGATGTATAGCTGTCCAAAAACGCGTCCTTGGAACTATTATATCCAAACTTCTATCCAAATCAAAGACTCTAATCCCAAAAGAAAAGGAAACACGATAACAATTTATCGCGAGTCAAAAGTTAAGAAACTATAAAGATGCAATCCAGTAAAAGTTGTTCAAAAATTGTTGACATGAGTGCATATTAGGCTGCTACTGTTCTTCTTTCGCGATTAACGCTCGCTCCTCGGCACTTTCACTATATCATGACCAGATGTCATATATAATTTGAAACTCTTTCTTTACTTTACAAGACCTCTTCATTGCACCTGTAATCATATAATTTTCTTTTACTTTTTGAGCTGAGAAACGAAATGTCACGTAGAAGCAACATCAATTTTGACATGTAGGTTTTTTTCATTGATCACCAAGATTTTCGGGATTCATTTTATAAGTATCCTATTTGACTGATGTTAGCAAACGATCAATACAGTGCTTATTGCTTGAAACATTCTCCATTTTTCCACAAATTTCCTTATGCTACTGCAACGGAATCAGAAGAATCTTTCGAACAAGACGTATCAATTTGTGAGAAGTGATTTGCACTGTACATGTAGTTTGTAAGGTCGAAAAAGGGAATTCTTTAGAGTCCTTGAGTATATAGAGGCCTTAAAACTATCCTCTATAAACGAATGGCTCACAGCTGTGTTGAGGGTATTAGGGCCAGTAATTGATCTCAAAAACCAAATTTCTGTAACTCTTTCGAAAAGAGCAGCATCTTAGGAGCAAAAATGAGTCTTTCCACAATTTTTCGTTCGCAAGACGGCCACTTCCAAGGGCGGATTTTGCAGGAGTTGTATAAGCCTTTTCCTCCCTATAAGTCATCAAATTTCTTAGCTCAAAAGTTGGAACAAATCCAAATCTATTGATAAAGCAGCGAGCATAAGTAGAGCATGGAGAAAAGCGGGATACTATTTAACTAATATTTTTTGATTAGGTTAAAGAGGGCTATCGAATGGAACTTCCCTCAAATGTTCTTCCCGAAATTCAAACCTACATTAAGGTATGCATTTGTTATGTCGGTATTATCACAGAATTGATTACCATTAAGATACGTTGTTGGTCGGAGAACCCGAACGATCGTTACACAATGGCTGAGCTTTGTAAACACTTGCAAAGGACCTTACAAATTCCAAGGCCGAAGTTTGTGGAAAACCCACACATTCGCATGTGAAAACTCATGGTAGACCAGGCTTTAGTGTATCATTAATTTTTGATTTTCCTCTTTTATTCATTTGCATAAGCACTAATAATTTCAAACCATGAGGTAATAGTTGACACACGCATTACTCCGCTGTACCAGCTTATAATTCGCTACTTGCTATAATTTCCTTATTTCTAACGGTGAGAAACTTGCAGAGCTAGTCAGTGAATCACAGGTTCCCAGAATCCTGAGCTAGACGAAAATGTGAAAACTGGAAAAATGCAAAAATAATGCCACGAAGTTGTTACGTGTCTCAGGGGTATACTAGGAGTCCAATAGTCGCATTAACACTGTTTTTAAAGGCACTTGCACTAAGTTTAGTAGGACATTCTACAACACTTCAATTACTATACAAGTCCAGAAGTCAAGGAGTTGTATTCCATTAGCATGCTTTAAGTCAACGCATGGCACATTAACAACAAATGTCTGTAAAGTTCCTTTAATGCTCTTTGAGACAAATTTATTGTTCTCCAGATTATACATTTAGAGCGTGTCGCTGACTAATTAAATATTTAGCAATCCGACTAGTTCTGCAGTAATTCCCATTATATGTAACGTGTATAGTAATTAGCTGCTTTTTGCAGTTTTGAAATAGTTCATAAAAATCGTGAAAGAAATTCTTTTCAGTGTTTGAAACCCATGTGCAAGGCTGCACTTTCTCTGCTGCTTCATTTTCCATATGTGGTCGAATATGACTTATAAATGATTTATTGATTCTCCTTGCATAAAAGCTTTGAGAATTCTCTGATGTACACATTGAAAAGGGTATTGAAAGGTTCATATCGCAAAACGTTGTAAAATGTCACAATGCTTACAGCAGAAATTTCAATAGGATCAAAACAAAAGCATTTGTTCTCAACTATTTGTGGAAAGATCATATCTCCACCATTCACTTCAATACTGAGCTAAACAATTAATGGTGATGCTTGGATTTTTTGGAGCTGTAGTTATCCTTGTGTTTTTTGTGTCCATGCTTGTAGTGCCCACTCTTTTTCTTTCCTAAAAATTTAGAATTAATAAGTGTTT